GTAACTAAATAGTAACTTAAGTAACGTTGTAGTTACGTATTAGTTACGATTTAATATATAACGTCTAATTTATAAATATTTTGTGATAATTATAAAATCTTTCAATAAAACAAAATTTTGATAATTTATTGCACAAAAATGCACTGGAAGGGGGGTACTGTGGCGATGGTTTATTACAACGTATAAAAAAAAAACGAGTCACAATATTTGATACATTTTTAGCCAATGTTTTTGTGTTAAACATGAAAAAATTTAAATTGGATTAAGCCAGTACAGCACAGAAATTCTAGTATTTATTCTTAATACTGAAAATTTATTAAATTAATATTATTAAATCTATTACGTAACACAAGTCAAATAGGAGTTGTGTAAAAAAATCAAACTCGACGACACGAATAATAAAATATTAATTTTATCTTTCGTTTTATAAAATCTTTTCGCATTATTAAAACTCGGTCTCGGATATAAAATATGAACAGGAGGAGGTTGACCAAAGTCGTCGAATTCTTGGGAATCTAAAAACACTAAAGATGATGGAATCCATTTGGGTCTGATAACCGAAACGTTAGAAAAAAATAATACAAATAAATGATACAAATAAATGATACAAATAAATGATACAAGTAAATGATATAAATGAATCCCGGAGCAAGCATGAAATTTAAATAATTAGTTAGTTGTATGTATGGATGAAAGCATGCAGTTTTTGCAATATTGAACACATCTTACCTTGTGCATCTCTTAACGTTGACTCCTGACAAAGACTTTCGCCTAAGATCAATAGATCTTTCGTCTTGAATTTCTAAATCGTATATGCATCCTTTAAAACCTGTACTGTACCTGCCTCCTGTTAAACTGAAGATATCGGGTGCACCACCTGGAAAAAGGATATTGAATCAATATCTGGTATCTAGTACTCAATGTGTTAACATCTTACTCAACCCTAATGAAATAATATTATTATATTTTATTACCTTCATACAGGCATAGCAAATCATAAACCCTCATCCCTTATTATAAAATTTCAAAATATTAAATAATTCTTTCATTGTCATTGCATCAAAATATAATTTTAATTTAAAATAATATGCATCATTAAAATGAAATGCATCATAATAAAACATCTCCACAGTACTCCCCTTCCAGTGATATTTTTGAAATAAATTATCACAACTTCGATTTATTGAGATATTTAAAATGTCACAAATGAAATATTTTTAAACTAGACATGAAAGACTAAAACGTAACTAATACGTAACTACAACGTCACTTAAGTTATTAGGTTGTCAAATATCTCCCTTCCGCCTTTTTGTATTATAAACCAAGAGCAAAAAAGCGGAAGGGAGATATTTGACAACCTAATATTATGTAGTTACGTTGCTGTGATGTAACTTATACGTTATATCGCATTTTTTTGAGTATAATGAAATGTAACTAAAACGTAACTACAACGTTACTTAAGTTACTATTTAGTTACGATGTCAGTTTTTGAGTGAACTAAGCGTCCGATTTGAATGATCTAAATAAAAAACTTTCTGCTTGTATTGACAAAACAATTGCTCTTGAGGATAAAAATTTTTTACATCATTTTTTATTTTCCATAAAATATTTTTGTAATTTTGGATTAAAAATTCAAAAAATTGCCCAGGCTAAGCACAGTCTAAGCGCCACCCTGGTACAAATGTTTACCCAAGTGCGTTTAGACTGCTTATGTACTGGAGAACTTTTCCAATTTTGTGAAAACTATTGAAAAATGTGAAAATGCCGCCAAGCTAAGCACAGTATAAGTGAAAGTGTCGCACAGAATTATTTGCAAATGCGTTTAGACTGTGACTAGACGGGAGCACTTTTTCAATTTTGAGATAATAAATTGATTTATGATTTACATTTGATTTGCTCAGATATACAAAAGATAGCAAAAATAATGAAACAATTACAGTATTTGTAATAATATATTTGAAAACGTTTGAAATTTCTCGAATATTTCATTACGGTACGGGAAGTTACAGCAATTTGCCTTAAGGCACGATGCCATACACCACTAGTTTAGTATTAAATCAAATATCATCTAACAAACACAATTTTAATTCAAACTTCAACTAAGTAACATATCATCTATAAATCTCAATATCGTATTATTTCTGGTGGTCTGATATAGCAATTATCTAAATATATCTGGTCCTTCAAAAATATATATAAAATGCAAGTGTATTTAATAGTGTTCGGCAGCATCTCAATCTCTCAATCAATTAATATCAATTATCCTTGTCTACTTACCAACATAAAGATTTCCTGGACAGTCCATCTCTGTGTCAACACCTTCACTTTCTCCATATTCGGTAAAAAGACCATCAATTTCGACACTGGCTTCTTTACCAGTTCTCTTCAAAACCACATTGTGAACAGCACCATCATCAACCCTTAAGAAAACGTTTCTGACATGTGCTGGTCCACCACCCAAATCGTAAGAGAACTCCAGGAAGGAATCCACCACTAAAAAAAGAAATTAGAACAAATTTCGTAAGAGAACTCCAGTAAGGAATACACCACTAAAAAAAGAAATCAGAACAAATTTCGTAAGAGAACTCCAGGAAGGAATGCACCACTAAAAAAAGAAATGGTTGAGGCTAGGGTTTGTCGGTTTTCAAAAACCGGTTTCAAAAACCAGTTTTTTGGCGAAAATTATGGAGTTCGAAAACCGTTTTTTTAGTGAAAAAAGTCGGTTTTCACTGTATAAATAGAAAATAACAAATATAGCCAAATATAAAAGATAGATGAAAGCGTTTTGATTCTTGAAATCATATCGGTTCAATAGCATTTGATATCTTATCAGTCTGTAATGGTTCCCAGAAAGGTTTTGTATATAATAATTTAGATTTTTATACCAGTGTATATATTAAATTAAATCAGTGTGACTTCTTCTTGAAGAAGTAACTTCCTCTACTCAAACTTAAAAAAAAAAGAATTTTAAACTCTAGAAGCCACAAATTAAATAACAAAAAACTTAGAATTATTATATCAGCTTTAAAAACAATTAAGCATAATTTGGTCGCAAGTATAAGAATATTTTCTATTTCAGGAAATTTTGTGAGTAAACAAAAGACACGTCTAAGTAGCAATTCAATAAACGTTCTCAGTTTTTTTAAATCATATTTTATTAAACAAAAAAATAATTAGAATGTTTAAAATTAATTAATTAAAATTGTTTGGAACAGACAATACCCGAGTTCAACGCAATTGTTTTTAAAACTGAAATTGATATTAACAAGTATGTATCAACATTTATCTAATATTTTTTTATTTTTTTTTATATTTAATGCATTTTTGTTATTTAAAAATGTATTATTTTATTTATTCGAAAACTTTCCTTTCACTATCATAAAAATATTTTCATTCTCATACGTGAAAATGATGCATGAATACCGAATAATTATTTTCAAAGTTATTTAATCAAGATAAACTATTATTTTTTAGTTCTACTAATTAAAATTAAAATAATTTTGTTTACTATCTATAAAATTGAACAATAAATAAATTCAGTCAAATTCTGCTCTAAATTACACTAAATTTGCGGATAAATTACAGAATATTCGAGCAAAAATTTATTTTCTATATAAAATTCGAAAACCGGTTTTTTAGTAAAATTAAAATTCGAAAACCGGTTTTCTGAAATGTCGGTTTTTGTATAAACCCTTATATATTCCATAAATGTGTACTGTTAAAAGTCTGCCTTTTTTCATTTAAATCAAATAGTTTTATGAGTGCCATTTCCACTAAAATTAAAATTAATCGTATTTCATCTAGAATTAACTTGGTTTTGGAATAAAAATTGGAGCACAGTAAAAAGTTCACAAGAAACACCCTTTTTTCCTCTCCATTTACTGTATTAATTTCTTTGATCGTAGGTCGAATAGAGCACATGTGAACAGGATTTGACAAATTAATTCAATTAAAATATGAACTTAAGTAATAATGCATTATTAAGAAAAAAATAATATAAATATCATTGTTACTGAAAACAACTATAGTACGAGATTATAAAAATTAAAGGCAACATTATTGAAGCAATTATTTTGGGTAGAAAAATCCAAGGTGATATTGTACCTTTATCGCGGATACTATATATTAATTCTTTCTGAATTCGTTATATCTTTTAAAATATTGCAATTTCCGATACGTATATCTTATGCTTTAAATCACAAAGGCAGACGATGATTTTTTGTGTGATAAATTTAGAAAATCAATGTTTTACTAGTGAATAAACAAAAAAATCATTCATTTATACATCAACATCTACAGGTATGACTAAAAATATATATAATCCTTGGCATTAAATAAATTGAGCTAATGGAAATAAATTTGTGATATGAAAGTTAATTTATTACTGCTAACGAGATGTAATCTTTGTCTCCTCCATCGACACCAGCTTTTTGTCCATGCCAGAAAATAAGACCATTACTTGCATTCGTCGATAAACTCAAAGCAATAACCTCAGTAGCACTTTGGTCGTCAGTATGGGGTAACAAACCTCTGCTCAATTCAACATAACCATCACCAGCAAATGATACGGAACTATCAAACTCAGCAACTGCAAAAACCACAAAAATACACATCATCAATATTTTATGCACTATGTATCATTTACCATACCGTCTTCGCAATTGGTTCCCATGAAGCCCAATGGGCAGTAGCACTGGTAACTTCCACCTAAAGCATGGCATGATCCACCATTTTGACAAGGTCTTAAAGTTTCACAAGGATTCAAAGCTGCATCACAAGTCTTTCCGGTGAATCCTTCAGGACATTGGCACATGAAATCGTAAGAACCAGGTTCCAGACGACAAATACCTCCGTTGAAACATGGGTTTGTATCACAAGGCGATGGTGTATGGTGGATGGCATGATGACCTCCATGCTGACCAGAAGACACATGATCTCCTAGATAAAAGATAGGAAATTAGTAGATGCAAGTACTGAGTTTTATGGTTCAAAACACGTACCTCCATAAGATGTGTCATGGCCTCCGGCTACTAAGTTGTCTTCATCATTTTCCAAGTAACCTGCTGGTTGTTCTTCATGTCCATTGCTGGATGAATCGCATTGTCCTACATTTGCAGAATCGTCAATAGAACTGTAGTCAGCAGCCAGACCGGCAACATCAATCTAAACACAAACAATATGAAAATCACCATGTGCATTCCCTTCGACTATCTTTTTCCCAAACTTTTTTTCCCAAAATATTTTTTCAAAAATTTTTTCCCCAAAATATTTTTTTAAAAAATTGTTTCCGCAATTTTTTTTTTCCTGAAAACTGCAAAGACTATAGTCCTTGGTTTTTGCCCAAAAAATTTCTTTTCCCAAAATTATTTACCCCAAAATTGTTTTACCAAAATATTTTTTCCCCAAAATTGTTTTACCAAAATATTTTTTCTCAGTTTTTTTCTCAAATTTTTTTTCCAAGTTTTTCTTCTAAAAATTTTTTTCCTCAAAATATTTTTTTTCCAAAATTTTTTTCTGAAAAATTCAAAGACTATAGTAAAAGGTTTTTGCCCAAAACAATTTTTTCCCAAAATTTTTTACCCCAAAATTGTTTTACCAAAATATTTTTCCCTAAAATGTTTTTTTCCAAAATTTTTTTTCCCAGTTTTTTTTCCCAAAAAATCAAAGAATATAATCCATGGTTTTTCCCCAAAATTTTTTTCCTAAAAAATTCAAAGACTATAGTCCTTGGTTTTTGCCCAAAATTTTTTTTTCCCAAAATTTTTAACTTACCGTAAGGCAAGTTATAGTAATCGCAAAAAAATCGAAAATGAAAATTTTTGCATTTCTCGACGTTTTAATGGTTTCTGAATATTTTGGCATATCTTAGAAAAAATGGATGTATGTGTGTGTGTGTGTGTGTGGATACAAATTTTCGTCGACGATTTCGGGAACACGGATGAGGCGATTTGAATAATTAAAAAAACATTCGATTTGTATTGATAAGGAGACGTGCTGATTAGTTTTTGGCGAAGGCAGGTCTAGCCGTTCCGAAGATACGGCGCAAAAAGTGTCGAAAACGGTAACTCAGTTTTTAAGAGAACGGAGCGTCCGATTTGAATAATTCAAAAAACATTTTACTTGTATTAACAAGAGGAAGCATTGATAAAATTTTTATAAATATAATATAATAATATAATAATATAATATAATAAAATATGTCCACGTATAGCTAGTTTACCCCGAAATTGTACTACCAAAATATTTTTTTTCAGTTTTGTTCACAAATTTTTTTTCAAAGTTTTTTTCTAAAAATTTTTTTCCTGAAAAATTCAAAGAATATAGTCCTTGGTTTTGCCCAAAAATCTTTTTCTCCAAAATTTTTATCCCAAAAAATTTTCTAAAAAAAAATTCTCCCCAAAGTATTTTTACAAAAAAAATTTTGTCTCCAAAATCGTTTCTCCAAAATTTTTTTTCCAAAGAATTTTTTTGCCCAAAATTTTTTTCTAATTTTTCCCCCACTTACGTCATTTACACATCCAACAAATCCTTGATCGACGCCAACACCAGCGTTCAAAGTAGTTTTTTCACCATCAAAGCCACCTACATAGAGTTTGGTATGAAGTGCCAAAGGTTTGCGAGGTCCTTTCACCTTTTCTGATGCATCGGGTTGTCCAGAAACTGTCAATCTTGCTTCTCCAGCATGTCTTCCTGCACTGACCTTAACCCATTTTCCTTGAGACAAAGGTTGATGGGAACGAACTACTGTCGGGTTTGCTCCGGTATCAAACCTAAATAAAAATTGATAATTAAAAAATTAAAGAATTAAAAAATTAAGTAGATAAAAATTGATTATTACAAGTTGTACTCACTTGAATTCAAGATGTCCATCTTTCAAAGCCAAGCTGACAAAATCACCATGGCCCTTTTCGCTTTCAGCACAGTACAAAATCAAACCGTCCTTGGAGACATCGTCTGGTTTTACTTCCAAGTCGAATCTTGCACGCCTTTTTGGTGGTGGTAGTGTCAAATATCCGTCACCTTTAGGAAAAACATTAAATGTACACTATTCCGGGCTAGTACATTATTACGGTAGTTTTTCATTTGATCGCAAAATAAGAAAAACGGTCAATAAATAATAATTTTATTCAATAGCACATCAATTATAATTTGAATCCTAATAAAATAGTACGACTTTCGAATTTAAATATGTATTAGTTTTTAAAGCCGTAAAATGCTTTTGAAAGACCTCAGTCGTGACCCGATCGCCATCCAATATACCTAGAATATTGTAATAATGAGAGAATCATTTATTTATACCTTTTCATCTATGATCAATTATTTCTGTTATATAAATTGAATAAAAATACAGGTATACCCCGCGCACGGTATTCCTGTAAACACGATAGTTTTAATCCGATTAAGCTTTTGGAATATAACCATTATATAACCTGCACATTAAAAAAACAAACATACATCATAAGTTATTAAATTAATATGAATTGCAATTATTCGAAAATAAGTTGCCGAAGCTACTCTTGAATGCAGTAACTTTCTAATAGTCTAATACAGTTTATTAAATATTATTAAAATTATATTCAATATCAGTAAATTTATTTGGGTATGATTTTAAATCGGTCTTTCAGTTTTTCAAAAAACGATGGTTCCAATTAAATATTCACCCAAAACCCTGAAAAGGCTTTAAAAGAAATTTGCCATATTATATTAAATGTATTTTAAAGCTTCTAAAACATACAAAATTCCCAATCAAACCTAATTTAAGCTAGTAGTTATTGTTAACTTAAAAGTCTTTAAAGATTATTTTAAAGTCTTTAAAGATTTACGTTTGTTGGCAGAATTGTAACTTTCAAGTTTAATTTTTTTATTTTGAGTTAAATTTAATATTTATTTTAAATTTATTTTTGTTTAATTGCCGTTGAATATTATTCCTTTATTGTTTCATTTATTTGATTTACCGAAACAGTATTGATAATGATTATTATACTGCTATTACTTTAATAATACCAGCTTTTATTTTATTTTTATTTTAGAAGTTTTTCAACTTCTTATAATTTTATGACTTTTATAAAACTATATAAATGTTTAAAATCATATCAAAGTGTTATTTTATAATTAACCGTACTTTTTATAACCTATTCAACTATATTTATCAAGGCAATACGATCAAAAATGTATCCTTCGAGCGCTATCACGGAATAACGTACAACAACTCCCGGCATTATGTTCACGACCAGAATTTTATCACGGAATTAGGGACAAACGCGTGGTTCAGCAAAATGACGATTATTTCTATAAATGAGGTTCTACGACGAAAAATCTTGTTTTATAATAATCTTAAAGGTCTAATTAATAAAATATAACAGATTTAGTTTAAAGTCAAACGTTTCTTGAGATCCCGTAATATGATACGTTTACCTTAGTTTTTACCAAAATTATCAAACTAAAACTTGTGTTCATACTACCTTTGAATGAAGGTTCAGCAATTGCAACAGTCAATTCACATCTGCTTCCTGTTCTGCCAAATGGACAAGCACATACAAATCCACCTGAGGGTGCATCTGAACATCTACCAGCTCCACAAGCACCTATAATAATAGACATATAGAATACTCTACACTAATTTACACAAAATTTTCCTACCTGGGTAGCACACGTCGCCACTTCTCGAACAATCATTTCCAGAGAATCCTTCAGGACACAAACACCTCCATCCAGGAGCTTCTTTAGATTCTTGACATTTACCACCATTATGACAAGCATTTGCAGCACCTCCATAAGGCGAACAAGTTTCACAATCAGCTACACCATCCCCTTGAACCAAGGCATCACCCAAAAGTGAGGCATCACGTTTGTTTAGGGTCAAACCAGAAATACAACCTAGGAAAGAAAAATATATATTTTAAATATATATATTAGAGATGGGCTTATTATATCCGAAGCTGGATCGACTCGGATTTGACTCCGCTTCATAGTATAGCTAAACAACTCCACGACTCCGACAATTTTGAAACTGAAATACTCGACACAAATGTGTTCTATTGTGCGTTGTTTATGCATCTAAAGATTTGTTAAATCCCATTTAATTTTTTGAAATAAAAATTTATGAATAATTATCAATAAAATATTTTTTCTAAGAAATTCACAAATAAATGACGAGTTGTAAAACTTTTCGGTCGACCACATGATCGACTCAGTGACTTGTATTTTTAGCAGTGTTGACCAAAGTAAAAACGCAAAACTTGAGAATCAAATTCAATTTAGTTATTTTCCTTTGATGAGAAAATAATTGATTTTTTAGATTAATTTTATATAAAAATAATGTAGTAAACTTTGCAATAAAAGCAAAACATTTATCATGAAATATTTTCACCAAATAATAATACTTCTGCTTTCTAATTTTTTCTTCTGCTATTTCCATTCGGGAATTAATATTATATCGGGTAGTTCGATTAGCATATTATTATTTTTAGACAACGAGTATTGAATTTTTACATTTGATTTTTTTTATCGTAGTTCATTTTACAGACAATATTATCTAGTTTAACGAGATTTTTTTTTTAAATTTCATCCACGTAGAAGGCCGGAATCACTGCAGTAGTGAAAGGCCTTTTTTTTGTCGCGCCGTTGACGATAACTTAAAAAATATTTAATGTTTTTCTTCAAAATTTTTACTATGTATTCTTAAAACATGTATAAATATATTCCTAAAATTTTGAAATGATCGATAAAGTAGTTTTTTTAATATAAATCCCTAAAAATCACCTTTTTTTAGGCGGTTACACTAGTTGTGCCCCTTAAGCATAATTTGGTCGCAAGTATGAGAGTATTTTCTATTTCAGGAAATTTTGTGAGTAAACAGAGGACACATCTGAGTAGAAATTCGATAGACGTTCTCAATTTTCCGCAATCATATTTTATTAAACAAAAAAAAAAAACAATTAGAATGTTTTAAATTAATTAATTAAAATTGCTCGGAACAGAAATAAAAGTTTTCCATTCGAGAATTAATATTATATCGGGTAGCTTAATTGTTTATGAAACTAAATTGATATAAACAAGTATGTATTAACATGTATATAATAATTTTTCAATTTTTTTTATTTAATAATGAATTTTTTTTATTTGAAAATGTAATATTTTATTTATTCGAGATCTTTCCTTTCACTATCATAAAATATTTTTCATTCTTATATGTGAAAATGATGCCTGAATAACAAATAATTATTTTCAAAGTTATTAGTGAAGATAAACAATTATTTTTAGTTCTACTAATCAAAATAAAATAATTTCGTTACTATCTATAAATAGAACAATAAATAAATTCAGTCAAATACTGCTCTAAATCACACTAAATTTGCGGGTAAATTACAGAATATTTGAGCAAAAGTTTATTTTCTATATAAAATTCGAAAACCGGTTAGAAACCGGTTTTTTAGTGAAATGTAAATTCGAAAACCGGTTTTCTGAAATGTCGGTTTTTGTATAAACCCTAGAATATACCTTACTTAGCAAAACAACGTTCGCCGGGTTTGCTAGTTTTCATATAAAAATGAACATATTCAAAGAATTCTATATTTTCTCTTCAAAAATAATTACAAAATTGATTTTGATTCCCAAGCTTTTTGTCAATTTAAGATTTGTATGCATATTGAAATGAATAAAATAGTAATTATTATAATTAAATGAATAAAAATGTTTGAACTTTAGATATGTTAAAAACACACTAGAAAACACATTTGTGTCAAGTATTAGATTGTCAAATATCTCCCTTCCGCTTTTTTGCTCTTGGTTTATAATACAAAAAGGCGGAAGGGAGATATTTGACAACCTTATATTATGTTTGAAAGTTGTCGGAGTTGTGGAGTTGTTAAGTGAATATAACTCCTCATTAGGCGGAGTCGAATACTAACGATACGGCTTCGGATATGATAAATCTATCTCTACAGATTTAAGTCTTTAGTCTTACCTACAAATCCTTCTTTATCAACACCTTCAGGCAAAGATTCAGAATCAGGAACACCTCCAACATACATGGGTTGTTTTAGGTCTAATCCAATATGTTTACCCCGAGCTACAACTTTGAATGGCCCTTGTCCATCGACGTACATCATGGCTTCTTTGCGACTTCTGCTCACAGAAATATGGTGCCATTCTCCTGGTGCCAACACTAAATCTTCGGGTGCCTTTAAAGTTGTCACACCAGCTCCTAAATTGTATTTGAATTCAGGAACTCCATTTACCAAAGCCAGGGACACAAAGTCGCCGTTGGATGGTGGTGAGAATTGACCATTGAAAAGTAGAAGGCCTAAAAACCAAAATTGTTAGACAATTGCCTGGTTGTTGGTGGAATTATTTATTTGGCAGTATGTTTTTAATAGCTGTTTTCATACTCAAATAAGTTAATTGAAACAAATATATATTGTTGCAAAAAATGCGGGCGCAAGCCTTAGGGGGCGCCAGAACGAGTTTCGGAAATTAAATTTATAATATAATATTTATATTTTTTATATAAAATGTAGAATTATTTATTTAAAATCTAGAATACTTAATAAATTATAATAACTTATTTAACTTAACTAGAGATACAAAGACACAAGAAACATATTTATTTTGCTATGTGATATCAGTAGAAACAATTAAACGATTAATAATTTTGAAAATTAGTAAATAACAGCTCTGTTTATTACTTAATCTACTTATTCAATTTTTCCGAAAGAAATTATCTAGTGTTCAATCCCATAAGCGCAAACCTGCGAAAGATTAAATTAATTGTTGGGCATTTTTGACGAAAATATGAAAAATGGAAGCAAAATTTACTTTGGAACGAAAATCTTAAGGCTTGTTTTATACCTAGTGGTGTCCATACTCTAAATTTAATAATTATTAATTATACAGAAATAATACATATCAAGTATAATAAGTTTCCTTTTTCAATATTGTTCAAGAAATGTGTAATTTCTTTGCATTTTTTACTGATTTTTGAACAATACTTCTAAAATACGTTAAAAATTAAACTTTAAAACAACAAGCTGATACTCTGAATATGACGGCTCTTACGATATCAATAAGGAGAAGTTTACGACGCAATTTTGGATATTGTAAATGATGAAAAATTAAATTAAATTGAAATTTAAAAAATCCAACATGAAATACGAGTTTTATGTTTGGAAATTAAATGCTAGTTTTTTTAAATATTAATATTGCACATACGTTAAAAATAATTGAAAATTTCAAAATACTTGATTATAATCAACCCCCGAATCGCCTCGATTTTCTAAATAAATTTAAAATCAATATATTTTATACGCTTTTAGATAATATCTAATTTTTGTGCACTAAATCCATACTAATTAGAAATTTATTTATTTATTTCACTTAACATTTGTGTTAAATTAAAGTTATAAAATTTAAGAAATGCATTTCAGGAATAGTATTTATTATTTTGATATCAAGATCTTTATATCAAAATAATAAATACTATTTCTGAAATGCATTTCTTAAATTCTATAACTTTAATCTAACAAAAATATTAATTCTTTTGCTATGGTAGTTGAACTTACATCCTTAACTAATTTACTACATATTGAATATTACTAAAATGTGAAATTATGACAGGGATTGTTTTATTTATTGATATCGTTAATAATAAATAAATTTAAAATCAATATATTTTATACCCTTCTAGATTATACATAATTTTGTGTGTACTAAATCCAGAATAATTAAAAATTAATTTTTAAAAAATATGTAAATATTTATATCATTTCAATGATAAACTGTTAAAACGGTGAAAATTAATAGGGGAGGGGGTGCTAGATAAAAAGTTGCATGCGGGCGCTGAGAACCCCAGAACCGGCCCTGTCATAAGTAAATTCATTTGAACGATGTATAATCCCAAGTAACGGTAAATGTTGCGAATATTTTGTACATCTGCAAGACAACCCTTAATAAAAGTTTATGATAGCTCATGTACCCTCGGGCGAGCTATCATAAAACTAGAAATATTGGAAATATTTTAAAAATGTAAAAAAGGTTATCTAGTCCTGAACTGTTGAAGAAGTAACAACTAAAATATTATAATAAAGCGCTAAATTCACCGAATAGGTGTATACAATTTGTATCTTTATGTAAAAATCAATGTATGTATTTAAGTCAAATAAACCAAATTTTCAAATTAATTAAAATTTTATTTATTACCATTTTGTTCTTCTGGCTTGAACGTCAGAGCAAAGTCGAATTTGGTGTAGGCATCTTGCAAAGTTGGATATTCTAGATAGCTGTCCGTGGATCTTGTAAATCTGTAAAACAATTGGTACATCAATAAATAGTCCAAGGTAAAAGTTGATCCAATTATGATTCCATTTCTAGTTACCTGGGTATGGTTCCTGTGACCAAGAGCATACTTGGAATTTCAAACGTATCAGTTCCATTCTTCACAGTACAAACATATAAACCAGCATCACTTTCCTTGACATTGGTCAATTGCAAGAACTCCTGCAAAAATTACCACTCTGTCAAAAAACAAATCTAACTAGTGTTGTATGGCATCGTGCCTTAAGGCAAATTGCTCGAACGTCCCGTACCGTAATGATATATTCGAGAAATTTGAAACGTTTTCAAATATACCATAACTAGTGGGGTGGGTGGCATCGTGCCTTAAAGCAAATTGCTGGAACTTCCCGTACCGTAACGAAATGTTCGAGGAATGCTGAATGTTTTCAAATAGATTATTATTAATATTGTAACATTGTCTAATATTGAAAGTTGAAATTATTTGTTTAAAGTATATTAGAACTATAGTCAAAATTAAAAATAAAATCGAATTATTTTCGATTTTCAAAAAATTAAAAAAAAACTAGCTGTAAGTGGAATTCTGTTTTGAGGCAATTATGGCATCGTGCCTTAAGACAAATTGCTGGAACTTCCCGTACCGTAACGAAATGTTCGAGGAATACTGAATGTTTTCAAATAGATTATTATAATATTGTAACATTGTCTAATATTTATGAGAATTATATAAACTGAATTGCAAAGTTGAAATTATTTGTAAAGTATATTAGAACTATAGTCAGAATTAAAAATAAAATCTGAAATATTTTCGATATACAAAAAACTTAAAAAAAAAAAAAAAAAAAATCCAAGATCAATTATTTTGTTAAGACAAGCAGAAAGTTCTTTGAATCATTCAAATCGGACGCTTAGTTCTCTCAAAAACTGCCATTTTTTACATATTTAGCTCCGTATCTTCGAAATGGCTGGGCCTGCCTTTGCCAAAAACTAATAAAAATTTCTCCCAATCATTACTAATTGAATGTTTTTTAGATCATTCAAATCGGATACTCCGTTCTCTCAAAAATCGATTTCTATTTTCTGCACTCTTTGCTCCGTATCCTCGAAACGGCTGGACCTGCCTTTGCCAAAACTAATCAGCTCTTTTCCCTATCGATAGAAATCGAATGCTTTTTAAACCATTCAAATCGGTTGATCCGTTCGCCCGGAAACGTGACTGGCAATTTGTATCCATACATACATACACACACACACACACATCCACTTTTCCTGAGGGTGCCAAAATGTTCAGAAACCTTCAAAACGTCGAGAAATGTAAAAATTTTCAATTCCGATTTTCGGCCCATTACAATAACTCACCCAATGGTGTTGTCGAGCCGGAACGCGCCGGAACGTCGTTCCGGCAAATCATTTTTGGGGCGGAACGCGTTCCGGCAAGAAAAAATATAAAAAAATCGCTACATACAGAAAATGATTTAATAAGTAAATTTTATAAGTTATTATTTAACTAATTTTTATTAAATGTTATTATTGTAATAAACATACATACATGTGCGCAAAATGGGTTTTGTAATAATTTTTGTTTCTTTCCTTTTCGAACGGAACCGGAAAAAACATGAAAACTGGTTTTAGAACCGGTTTTTAAATTTTAGCGTTCCGACAAAAAATATTAGCACAACACCACTGGTTTTATCAAAGTCGTTTTTAATTTAGTAACAAATTGAGGTGTATGAACTGAAATATCAATTACAATACAGTAGTGTATTTCAAATTTCACATATGTTACTTTAAGACCGAAAAGTGTCTGATGCTCTAATATTTCGGATATAAGTTGGACTTGTTTCGGGCATAGCGGGCGTTTGTCGAATAAAATAAAAAATTTAAGGCATTCATATAATGGAAATTGATTGTAGCGAAAAAGCAATTCTATAAATACATAAGCATAAGAACTCTTTTGCTTTTAATTAAATTAAAAAAAAAATAATATTTTAATAATTCGATGAATTTTTTGCCATCTAGGCAAAAATATAAGCCGTTCGATCGCTTGTAAATTTTTACAATCCAAGATCTATTGGTAATTTTTTTAATCATTGTTTTATTGACATTTATTTAGTGGTAAATTAGTTGACAATTTATAGCAAAGAGTTACCCTGATAGACTTATGGTCTCAATTCATAGAAACTTTGATCTTTTGAAAATCTGATGAAGGTTCTGTGGAATTGATGATCACTCGATTATTTTAACCTGGTAGTAGATTAAAAAATTGTACTCCTAGACTAGTAATTCCCAACGTGGGGCGCTCGCTCTACAGAAAAATCCATTTTTAAATTCAGAGGGGGGAGGCAAATTAAAAAATTACACGACTTCAACCCACTTGCTTTGGGTGATTTGAATATAATTTGTAAATACTGTTAAAAAATTGTTAAACATATTATGATCATTGTTTAGTCTAAGTAAGCACAGGATGCATGTGCAAATCATATAATTTTTCCATATATATTTCCATAGCTTAGGTAAATACGGATCCCTTTTTAGGTCTAATGCAAACTTTCTCAATATTACGGATTATAGAAAAATTCCAAATTCTGTATATATTAGTCTGTATATTTATAAATTTGCCATACCTCCCAAACAGCGGTATAATAATTTTTATATTATATTTTTAAATTTAGAATTTTTAGAATTCAGTAAGTTGCGAGACTAAGAACACCTTAAGGGGGTATTCTACTGTAGAAGCATGAATTTTGGCCGGTTTTTGAAGCGCTGTATAAAGGAAACAAATTATATTTTTACTATCGATTTTTTATGATTTGTTTATTGATATTTTATTATTACATAAAAAAATAATTAAAAAAAATTAGAATTCACAAAGTTATGAGCAGTCAAAGTGGGGGCTCAAAAAAAAGAGGGCGTCCTGGGGTGCATGGTTCCAACCCTCCTGGTGATCCGAAACATAAAAAATAAATGGATTCTTAATTATTATAGATGCCGCTATCGTATGAACCTTGGATAAGTTAAAAAAAATTTTTTTGTTTGAATGGCGACAGTTTGAAAAAAAAATTTTTTTTCATGTTTTTTTTAACAATTTCGAATTTTTTAAAAATACTAAATGAAAAGTTATAGTTTTGGGAAAGGTCCATGCGATAAAGCGATGTATGGAGAAGATCCTCTCCAAATTTGAAGTAAATCGGTTCATTAGAACTCGAGATATCCTTACCGCCAGCTCGAAAAAAGTAGTTCCGAGAAAAACGCGTTCAAAGTTTTGAGACTCGGTCGGACCCAAACCGAGGCCACGTCACTTAAACGGACATAACTCAGGAAATAATAGTGATTTTGAAAAATCCTTTTAATGACATATTTCTGAATAACTAAACTTTGAAAATATGAAAAAAAAATTTTTTTCGATTTTTTCAAAATTCTACAGTAGAATACCCCCTTAAGAAATTCAGCTCGCAAAAGTTACTCAAACATTTAATAAAATTTATAGTTCTATGTCTATTGTCGCATAGTGCACACATTCGTTTAAAAGTGCAGTAATTAATTTTTTATGAAGTGATAACGGCAAAGGCAGCAGTAAGGTGTAATCGACGCCTTAACGGATATTTTAGATATTTAATACCGAGATAAAATTTCTTATAGAAAAATAATATTTATAAATTAAATCTTATATCTTATCTTTAATTCTTATCTCAATATCTATTCTTATATAAATTCGCATTTCTTATACGCTAACACCTACATCATAGGTTCCTATTCGTGTATTTCTATAGCCTTACGTATGCCTATACGTTGCATTCTATACTACATGCCTTACATCTATACCATGCGCTATATTTCATCACATACTCTCAAATCCCTACATCGTATACCGAATACACCTAACCTATATCTACTATATATCCTATTTCCTATATTTTTTTTACACGCTACATTAACCCTACCGAGAATCGAACCCGGGTCCGCCGCGTGGCACGCGACAACCTTAGCCACTACACCACCGTAACGCTACAATCAACCGTCTTTTTTCGCGTGTCGTCGCGCCACCTCAGTATTAATTATCTAATTAATTAGAAAATGACCCGCGGAAACAACAGTGCGTCCCATATTATATTATTGGTGGGGGTATCCGGTAGGGTAGTGGTTAAGGTGCGCGACTTCCACGCGGAGGTCCCGGGTTCAATTCCCGGTATAGACAATAGATAATATATATAATAGGTAGAGATAATACATAGCGCGTAAGGTAAACCTATATAATATAGGTGAATATATAAATTAGACAGTAGTATTTATAAGAAGTAAAAGGTCTGTAGGTATATAATAAGTTAATGACAGTATAGGTATCTCACGGTATGATAGATAATAGATATCTATGATATACAATAATATAATATAGTATGATAGGTAATAGGTTATCATATTATTAGGTTAAGTCTTATAAAGTATTGTAATAAATCTTGAGTACGTTTATATCATAATAAATACATGTAGGTATTAATGAATACAAATAATACCAGAATAAATATAATTAATGTCATTGAAGAATATAAATTATGTACTCAATGATTCCCTCATACTTGTACAATTTAATGTATAGACTATCTGTATATAATAGAGTTAATTATATAAGAAGTCAATATATAACATTTGTGAGGTCTTATCGAAATATATCAAATTTTTTGAACCGGATTTTAAATTTTAGCGTTCCGGCAAAAAAAATATTAGCACAACACCACTGAACTTACCCTACGGGAAGTTAACAAATAGTGTAACTTTCATTATTTTTTGCTATCTTGTTATATCTGAGCAAATCAAATGTAAATCATAAATCAATCAATTTATCTCCAGAACATTAACAATCGTCATTTTATTTCGAATTCAATTTAAAAAAAAATAGTTGCTTAATTTACACAAAATTGAAAAAGTGTTCCCGAATAGTCACATTCTAAACGCATTAATACAAGCATGAAGTTTTTTAGATCATTCGAACCAGACGCTTAGTTCACTCAAAAACTGCCAATTTTTGCACATTTAGCTCTGTATCTTTGAAATGGCGGGACCTGTCTTTGCCAAAAACTAATAAGTTGAAAAAATGTGAAGTATTATCTTACCTCATCAGTTTGGACATCACTTGGCAAAGCAAATCCTTTCTTGCTCCAAGCATACTGCAGCCTGTTACCTTCCATATCGGTGTCACAAGACATCTTTATGCCTTCACCAATTTTGGCAGATGACACATGTACTGGTCTCTTGTGTTGGTGATGACTAGGTCTTTTGTGATGGTGTTCCTCTTCGTGATGAGTTGGTGGTTGATAGTCTTCTTCGGGATGGTAGGGATCGTGGTGGTCTGGTTGGTAGTGTCCTTGGTCAGGTTGATAATGTCCAGCATCATGTGAGATGAAGTTGGTCTTCCATGAAGATCAGAAGGTGCTCCAGAGTGATCTTCAGAAGATCTACCTTGTGAATCACCAAATCCGCCACGTGATGTGACATGATCGTGTTCTCTAGAATCGTATGGCTGGTGTCTTTCGTGTTGTTCTTGGGAACCACCATGTGGTCTTGATGCATCTGGATATCTGCTGTCGTATTCTGAGGGAAAAATATAAATATTACATAACAGTTGTGATCATTTTGGTAGAACAGTTTTGGTTTGTTACCTTCTACGTGTAGGTCGTATTGCTGGCTATAAGGCACTCCATAAGCAGTTGTGGAAGAACACAAATAGCTTCCAGCATCTTCAGGTTGGACATTCATGAACCTTAAGGTATTACCATGAACCTGAAAGAAGATTCAAAAATATATTAAGGATGCAATTTGCCCTGAGCAGCTCCTTGAAATTTCAATTTCCTATTCATAACATTGTTTTGTCCTGTTCAGAGTTGTCTAAATTTCTTAAAATTTTGTGAGGAAAGTTTGTAATTTTAGTATTTGACATCATAGTGCATAGGTCAGTGTATAACATACTCAATTTGTACACGTTTTGTGCAAACTGTTGGTCCTGAGGAGCTCCTTGAAATTCAAATTTCCTTTTATAACATTGTTTTGTCCTGTTCAGAGTTGTCTAAATATCTTAAAATTTTGTGAGAAATGTTTGTAATTTTAGTATTTGGCATCATTGTGAGGATATCAGTGTATAACAGACTCAATTTGTACACGTTTTGTGCAAACTGTTAGTCCTGAAGAGCTCCTTGAAGTTTTAATTTCCCATTTATAACATAGTTTCATACTGGTACTTTGTTCTAAGTTTGTCTAAATATCTTAAAATTTTGTGGGAAAAGTTTGTAATTTTAGTATTTGACATCATAGTACGAGTGGCAGTGTATGACATACTCAAATTGTACACGTTTTGTGCAAACTGTTTGCCCTGAAGAGCTCCTTGAAATTTTAATTTCCTATTTATAACACTGGTTCATCCCGGTACTTTGTTCAAAGATCGTCTAAATATCTTAAAATTTTGTGAGAAAAGTTTGTAATTTTAGTACTTGTTATCATAGTAAGGGTGTCAGTGTATAACATACTCAATTTGTACATGTTTTGTGCAAACTGTTTTTCCCTGAAGAGCTCCTTAAAATTGTAATTTCCTATTTATAACATTGTCTCATCCTGGTACTTTGTTCAAAGATTGTCTAAATATCTTAAAATATTGTGAGAAAAGTTCGTAATTTTAGTATTTGACATCATAGTGCACATGTCAGTGTAGAACATACTCAATTTATACACGTTTTGTGCGAACTGTTTGCCCTGAAGAGCTCCTTGAAATTTCAATTTCCTACTAATAACATTGTCTCAGCCTGGTACTTCGTTCAAAGATTGTCTGAATATGTTAAAATTTTGTGAGAAAAATTTGTAATTTTAGTATTTGTTATCATAGTACGTGCTTCGGTGTATAACATACTTAAATTGAACACGTTTTGTACAAACTGTTTGTCCTGAGGAGCTTCTTGAAATTTTAATTTCCTACTTATAACATTGTTTTAAACTGGTACTTTGTTCAAAGATTGTCCAAATATTTTAAAATTTTGTGAGAAAAGTTTGTAATTTTAGTATTTGTCATCATAATGAGAGTGTCAGTGTATAACATACTCAATTTGTACACGCTTTGTGCAAATTGTTAGGCCTGAGGAGCTCCTTGAAATTTGAATTTCCTATTTATAACATTGCTTTATCTTGGTACTTTGTTTAGAGGTTATCTAA